AAGCAGTCAGGTGAATTGGAGATGCTAAATTGCCCCTAGGTGTGAATGTGTGTGTGAATGTATATGTCTGTGTGTCTGCACTGTGATGGACTGGCAGCATGTCCAGGGTGTTTCCTGCCTTTCACCCAATGCCAGGATAGGCTCCAGCACCCCCTGCGACCCAGGAGGATAAGCGGCTTAGATAATGTGTATGTGTGGGTGTTTTGTGTGTGTGTGTGAATCGTGCCAATATAATTGAGTCAAATATTTTGAGATTTTGTAATGTTTCCTGAAAAACTATGATCAAATCACAATGCAAATCTGAGATCTGCACCCACAGTGTTTGCAATTTTTGGTAAAAATTTTATTTGAAGGTTCCTTCTTGGGGACTTCATAAAACATTCATAAGCAGTGATTAACATATTTATAAAGCAGTCCTTATGACTGATGCCAGTAATCATAAGATGAAATAAAATATTTTATGAAGTAAGTGGCAATGTATTGACATAAGGGGCCTTAAACTAAAGTAATGGACATTTAAACTTCTAGAATTTTTTACTTTTGATTAAGTACATTTAAAAGCATGCAATTTTGAACTTTCACTGTAGCTGAAGTAATATTTAACTCTGAGTATCTCTACTGTTACTCAAGTACAGGATTTTTGTAAGCAAATCATTTATGTCTGAGGCCATCACATTCTTCAATAGAACTGACAGATGGCATTGTTAACTGATCCTCTGCCTTAGAAGTTCCATTACTTGCGAATGATAATTTATAACACTGTTAAGAAGCATATCAATTATATAAATAAATTTTGTCCATTTTTTTTGTCCACTTTGGTTCTAAGCCCCTGATGTCAATGCAGTGTCATTACTTCATAGAACATATCTCGAGATCAATAGCATAAGCAGGTCATAAATATTTAAGTATTTCTTTATCAATGCATTATTCCATGATTATGCATATGTTATGAAGTCTCTATTTAAGTAGATTTCAAATAAAGTGCTGCCCCATTTTTTTTTCCTTGAATCATATCTTTTATAAAAATGCACTTTTAATTGGATTTTTGCCTTAGACTGAAACAGAATCTCAAGACACATCCAGCAGCCCAGGATACAATTAGTGTATGACTGCGCTTACCAAGTAGCACTAATTACTAGGCGGGATGCTAGACACGATTTTTCAAAAAGGAGAGAAAAAAAAACACGTCCTTGACTTAAAAATGAGGCAGAGTAGACCTGAGTGATCTGAGGCACCCTGTGAAGCTGGAGAGGGCCTGATGGCAGTTCCTGCTGCTGTTTGGGAGCGTAAATTGGCCTATGAGGAGAAAGGAAGAGCTGGCAGGGGCTTATGCAATGTGCTGCAATGCCCTGCTATGATCTCGGTGAGCCAGTGGCAATCGTTATATCTTAACAACAAGAAAGATAGGGCTGCTCTTAAACAGGCGTCATCCTTTATTTTACAAATGGTGTGTTTGTTGTGAGAGTGGATTTGATTTCTATAATCAGGCATAAACATATTAGTCTAACTCTTAGTTTTAGTGTAATGAGGTTATTCAGTATTCTCTTTTTTTTCTGCAACATCCAAGGTTTTACCAAAAATCTCTTCTGTTACAGCACTTTTTATATTTTACATTGAGCAATGCTTGCAATTCTCTGTAAATGATAACTTGAATATACTGGAGAGGGAGGTTTGTAATGGCTTTTTAGGCAGTGGCCTGCAGTAAGTCTGTAAACGTGGCAGTTTTTAATCTTATCTTACCTGCACTGTTGCGTAGGGTTTCGCCTCGATACACTGTCCATCCAAGGCGCTGAGCAAGGCAAAACAGTTGGGTGTGTGTGTGTGTGTGTGTGTGTGTGTGTGTGTGTGTGTGTTTGTGTGTGTGTGTTTGTGTGTCTCCACCCTGCCTCCAGAGCACTCTAATCCCATTCACTGCTATTATCTTATCCCCTCCAACCCAATGACAGTGGTAGCATTATCCTTTAAATCTCCTCAAATCCAATTGGGCTCAGTTCCATGGAGAGACACATGAGTGTGAGATTAAGCCATGCATCACCTACCATATCAGCGTAACTATTTCAGGTCAAGACAATATCATGTGCACCACATTAGGTGTGTGTAAATGACCACACTTCATGGTTTAGCAGGGTGAACATAAGACATAAAAGAGTGGTGAAGTGGTGTCTGATGGTGTCAAAACATTGTATGTATGGGTACAGTCATATTCTGAGATGTGTTGTAGTGATATAGTGTGGTAATGTGTTTTATTATGGCTAAGGATTATCCAAAAATACATATACCTTTTGATATTTTTTTCATTTCAAAAGTGAAAGGCCACCCTTTGTCTGTTTCCAGTCAAAACAGCCATAAAGTAATACATTTTTAGCTTCAGGTATAAAGCAGAAAACATATTTACCTGAAAATTACTCAACAACTAAATAGAATATCAAAATTTTCAGTATTTACTGCGTCCACTCTTTGCCTTCATTACAGCTTCTGTTCTTTTTTGGAAGACTTGCTTTCAGTTTTTCAAAGAAAACTGTCCAGTCTTAGAAGTTGGTTGCATTTTCTGCTTCTCACAATCCAGATAATCACAAACTCACCACTGTTTTGAGAACCCCAACAGCTACTTTGTTTGATTAGTTAATTTTCTTTTTTTGTCCGATTCCTTTTCTCAGTAATGGCTTCTTGACAACTACACATGCTTTCAGATCTATAGTGCTGTTGTCTTCTCTCAGTGGAAAGAGCACTGTTTCCTCTGAGTGGAAGGATGGGCCAATTTTCACCCATCTTTTAATCATATTGTGAATGCCAGTTTTGGAAGCTTTTTTTCAATAATTTTTCTTTGAATCAGCCCTTCCTTATGCAAGTGGATCATTTTATGTCTCTTCAGAAATATCTCCTGAAAAATGAACAACCCAAACTTAATGGCTGTTTTGACTGGAAATTATAAATAATAAAAGGTGCGCTCTGACTTGCACAATACTGTATATTGATGTTAGGTCACTGATTAAGTGTATTTAATGACCACACTTCATGGTATAGCAGAGTGTACATAGGAATTCAAATGCTGAAGTGGTTTCTGATGGCATCTAGATATTGCTTTTATGGATATACTTTTATTCTGAGATTCATTATAGTGATATGTTGTGGTGTTTTTATTGTGGCTAAAGACATTTCACCAAAGTCTTTAGCCATCTTACCTAACTGAGACACTTCACCAGATACTCTCAATGACCTTTTTGTTTCCTGTGCTTCACATCATGTTTTGTTTGCGTGCCATGTGTGTTTGTATCAAAGTGATGGGAAATAGTTAATGCTGAGAATCTAAGGGCAGACAGTCAGGCTCTGTTGTGGAAGCAATGTTCCGGTGTCTGGTTTTCACACCCGCTCTCAACTAGTACCCTCATCACATCCTGCAACAGAAACAACTGTCTGCATAACAACACAAATAAGATCACAGGATACACTGTACTGATCCTGTGATGTAACTGTTTTTGATTCAGTGTTAATCTCTGTCACGATTATTCGATTAAACTCATTTACTTGATTTAAGAAATTCAGCTATTGAAGTGCACCTTCTCATTGGCAGATTTGTTAGCTGTTTGCCTGATGATAATTCATATTTTGAGTTCTCCTACCGCTGTCTAAAGGACACCACAGATCGGACATGACGTACTGAGCAGTGTCTAAAAATTCAAACCCATTGTTTTTAAAGAAGGTGCCATCAGTTTGTCTGAACACCACTCATATTTTTGCTGTTAATGCACTAAATTAAACCCAGACCACCCATCTTTTAGTTTGAAAACACTGAGTTTGTGGAGTGGTAGTTAGCCGATACAAAATGTGATAAATTCACTGAATGATGTTGAAAGTCATGTTCCATTAAATCTAGTGTGAAATTGAGTATTGAGTATTGATTAGCTTGAGTTTGCCATTTATCAGTGCTCTCACTGGGACACCTTACACCGATCAGGTGTAACTTTATGACCACCTCCTTGTTGCTATGCTCATTGTCCATTTTATCAGCTCCACTTGCTATATAAGTGCACTTTGTAGTTCTACAATTACAGACTGTAGTCCATCTGTTTCTCTGCATACTTTGTTAGCCCCCTTTTACCCTGTTCAGTGGTCACGACCCCCATGGACCCTAACAGAGCAGGTGCTATTTGGGTGGTGGATCATTCTCAGCACTGCAGTAACACTGATGTGGTGGTGGTGTGTTAGTGTGTTTTGTGCTGGTACGATTGGATCAGACACAGCAGTGCTGCTGGAGTTTTTAAACACCTCAGTGTCACTGCTGGACTGAGAATAGTCCACCAAACCAAAAATATCCAGCCAAAAGTGTCCCATGGGCGGCATCCTGTGTCCACTGATGAAGGACTAGAGGATGACCAACACAAAAGGTACAGCAGCAGATGAGCTACCATCTCTGAGTTTACATCTACAGGATGGACTGACAAGCTAGGAGTGTCTAATAGAGTGGACAGTGAGTGGACACAGTGTTTAAAAACTCCAGCAGCACTGCTGTCTGAATCACTCATACCAGCACAACATACACTAACACACCACCACCGTGTCAGTGTTACTGCAGTGCTGAGAATGATCCACCACCCAAATAGTACCTGCTCTGTGAAGGTCCATGGGGGTCCTGACCACTGAAGAACAGGGTAAAAGGGGGCTAACAAAGTATGCAGAGAAACAGATGGACTACAGTCTGTAATTGTAGAACTACAAAGTGCACCTATATAGAAAGTGGAGCTGATAAACTGGACAATGAGCATAGAAACAAGGAGGTGGTCATAATGTTACGCCTGATCGGTGTATATGTGTTACAGCTAATTGTTTGGCATATTTGAAAGTCTTAGCCATGGTTTCATTATGTCCAGTTTTATTTTTCTGCCTTTCTTAATAGTTACGATTTACTTGATTAATCTTTAGAATAAACAGCACATTACTAATATAATGGATAGTGACAGCTGTATTGATTTTCTGTCTTTTTGTGTCTTCTTTTTTTTCAGCAACACAGAAACCAAAGGAACCAGCAGCCATTTTGGTTGCGTTTGGCATCAGCGTTGTACACGCTTCTGTTTGAGAGGGAGCCAGTGGCTAATGGGAGGAGAGTGGAGTGGAGGTGAGATGGCCACCTCGAAAGAACTAACAACTGCCACCTTCATCCTGGCTTCATCATGGAGTAGGGATGCTTAAATGGCACTGTCTGATTTTTAACACGGGTTTTCAGGGAGAGGGGGGAAAAAAAAAGAAAACGAGATGGAAGACAAACATCTCCGCGGGACGGAGGCGCTGGCTTTTACAATTTAAAAGCGTTTCCTTTCTTTCTCCCCCCTCAAGAAGATGCCATGGTGTTCACGAGACTCTTTAACAGGAATATTTTCGTAAGAAACTTGTTGAGGTATTTTGTACAGTATGTACTGTCGTTTCGTTTTGTTTGCACTTCCATAAATTTTGAACAACCTCCATGAGTCCTGGGAATGCCTTATCATCTCCAGCCGCTGCAGAATGACTGTCGACTGTGGATTAAAGAAGAGGGTGGTACAAGGAAAGGCAGTGGGTTGGTTTTGGAATTTTTTCCTTTTTTTTTCTCTAAAATCTCCCAGGATACCAATCAACTTGACAATTAGCCTGACTAATCTCCAAAGAGGCAGTTTCTCTGAACAAACGGTTTTGCACCTCAATATGTCCAGTTCTTCAGTGTTTTGATGTTTTTGTTAGATATTTTGTTTTTTTTTTCCATTAGTGTCTCGAATATTTATGGTAATGGGAAGTTAAGACAGGCTTCTGCAGCTTCATTTGGCAATAACAAATTCATAAATCCACTGAAAGTGTTCCTGTGTCAGCCAAACAAGGTTTTAGGGTAGTGTTTGGCATTCTCAGGTCTCACCGATAAGCCTGTCAACAATCAGAAATCTCTCCCAAGAGGTGCTTCAATCACTAAACAGTCTAGATGTCTAAATGGTCAACAGGTCAATGTAATAATCTCCATGTCAGCCTGAAGATGGAGTGCAGTGCCTATTACGATACACCTGATCTTACCTTAAAATATCCATTGTGCTGCTAGCAGCACAAGGAGCATAGCAGCATCTGAAGGGTATTATGGAACCATGAAATGCTTCAGAAGCCTACAGGCTTCCTCAACTGTTCAATGAAGGTTTTATTAGTTGATTTAATGCCTAGAACTTATCACCTTAGGCATTAGACTGCAAGGTTATCTCTCTGACACCATGAAATCCTCATCATCGGCACCACAGGTGTTCGTGTTGGCCTTTTATTCATTGTTAGTTTTTCTACTGAAAGCTTTTTCTTTGTACCACTCAAAGTGTGGTTTTCTTCATTGGCTGTTGAAGATAATTCTGGCCACTTGTTCTCCTGGCCCCAGAGCAATACTGTGTCTGTGAAGTGACTGCATTTCTTCTCTCAGGATACTTGGGTGTTTTTGATTTCTGTAATTTCACGTTGTATTTGTGCTTTTATCTTTTTATACCTTTTCAGGTGACCTGTTGCAGTGGTGTAAATTTTTTTTGTATGACCACTACTTTTGCCTTTTTTTTAATATGAGATACAGAAGGTCTTCTGTAAATTGTTCGTAAGACTGTATCATGGTGAAATAATGTCATGTTTGAAGACACTGTTGGATTCTTAATGCTGTTTTCTTATACTTTGTTTTGTATTTCTTTTGTCCATTTTGAAGGAGTGGTGTATATTTAGTGAGACTTGGTTTCCCATTTCCAACATTAAGGCTTTTTATTCTTGTGTTACACATAAATAATGGATACCTTTAGCACAGAAATCAATTTATAGTTGTACATATGATATGAAGGAACTACATTTTCAGAAAGTTTAAGAAAAGCACTATAGGGTTAACATGTTTAAACCATTAGCAGAGATTCTGCAGTTTAGCAATTACAGACACTGCTTTGTAAAAATAACCGATAATCAGTTAGTGTTAATATCCAATCAGAAGTTGCCTTATTGATTTGCTCACCCGGCTGGTTGGCGAAAAATAATGACTTGGGTTGACTGTAGCCTTAACATAGGTACAAAGGTATGGTACAAAACTTCAGTTCTCGTTACTAAACTGTCTTGCCAGCTGTGAGTCTGTGGGGCACAGGCTACTTTTTCATGCATATTGAATGTCATATGAAGTGCTGAAAGTTTGTTTCCTGCAGATCGTGAACGCTGAGCCAGTGCCTGTAGCCCTCAAGGCTCATAGCTACCTAACTCTACCTTACTCACCCAGTCTCCATTCATATATGTACACTCCTTAATGTTGATTTGTTGTTTTGTAATTCATTTAATAAATTTGTAATTTATTTTTTTTCCTTTCTTATTTATTTTTTGTATATTGGTCCATTGCTACTGTATAGATTCATGCGTGCAATTTCTTTTTCTTGTTTTTTTTTCTGCCACTTTTTTGTTTTAATTTTGGATGTGTATATGTTGCATTTTTTTTGTTGTTTTTTTTATGCTTGGCTTAGCAAAGTAAGTGGTTAGCCATGTTAGTTTGGTTCGTCTTTTGATAGTAATAATCGCCTGAATTAGGGTTTAGTATTCATTTAGGTCTCTAAAAGTACACCAACGGAAGGAATGGATGTATTGGTAGGTAAGAGAGTCCTAAATGTCTGTATCCAGCAGATAGAGGTGCTTAGGGAGAACTTTTTGTTCAGTCTTGGTCTTTAACGGCTACGTTGTCCTTTTGCTTACAGACCATACAGCAATCACAAAGCATCTTGTTTCAGAAGTGCTGCTCCTGGAACTGTTTCTGTCTCAATTTAAGTGAGGAGGAATCGATCCTGGATCAACAGTCCAGCTCTGAGATGCTTTGCAAATGCTAGCCTTACTTTGGTTAGATTTTACACTAAAATAAAGGTCCCAGAATGGGTTCTTTGGCCCTTTTAAGAACCACTTTTGGCTGTCTAAACAACTTTTTGGCCAGTGAAAAACCACTTTTGGTTGCCTAAAGAACATTTTGGCCATAGCAGAACTACATTTGGTTCCACAAAGAACTTCTCAATAGACAGTTTTTTTTTTAAACAGTGGTTCTCAAACTTGCCCTGGTGGATGCCCATATGATCCTCATTTTTGCTCTATCCCTATGTGTTAGGTTGGAGCAAAAATCTGGACCACCTGGGGATCCCTAAGGACCAGTTTAAGAACCACTGTATTAAAAAAACTGAAACCACTCATCCGAAAGGTTCTTGAAGGAAAACAAAAGTGGTTCTTCTATGGCATTACTCCAAAGAACCCTTTTTGACACCTTATTTTTACATTTACTACATCAGAGAGAAGAAATCAGTCAAGGACAATGTTGTCTTTTGAGATCAGGGTTGGCCCTACACTATAGCAGTGACACTTCAGACCCACACATTGCCTACGCTCACTATTTTGTTTTGGATAGAAAACCTTTAATCATCCTGGTATACTTGGCGGTTTATGATTGGGCACCATAAAAAATTCCCTGAGAAAAAAGATTTGTCAGGTTTTGTTGAAAGAACAAAACCATGGCTAACAGTGAATGAAAGCTACTGGAGAAAAGTTAGCATGACCTCATTTTTATAACGCTAACTGTCCCCTACCAGCTTTCATCCATTTTGGCAATGGTATCATGTTTTAGGTGAAGTGTTCCTCTAAACGGTGTCTATTTCTTAATCCCTGATGAGGAAATCAGGGAAGGGAAGATGTATAGAAACACTGGGCCATGTTAATGGGATGGATTGTTCTTCACTTTGTCCATTATTTTCTCAATTTGCATGCACTGGAAAGTACTCTTTTATTTGTTGAATCTTCATTGTCCTTTGATTTTCCAGTGTTCTCTCCTGGCATGGTTCTTCGAATGTTCTTCAGGTGCCAGGCACAACTGCCCAAGTGTATGATTTACTCGTAGGATTGCAAGCACACCAAGGTGCCCAGTATTAGCTCGAGAGAAAGATTTGTACAGAGGAAGTGCTGGGGGGGGCTGGGATTCATGCGCCAATTTCAATGTTCAAGAGAAGTATTGGGTTGAAACCTGATAGTGGAGTCTGTCTGTGATGGAAACCACCAGTGTCTTGAAAAGTAATTGAGACCAACATTAGTTTCAACTTCCACAAGTAGGTGATACTGTTTGGTTATTAAATGTCAGAGCATATCTTGCTCATATGTTTTCTCAGATTTAAAAAAATGCAGTTTGTACTTTTAAATTGCAATTTCTTTTTTGTTTAAACCTATGAATCGGTTCTAATGCATTTTAGACTGTATGACAAGTCAAATGAGATCAAAAGGCTTTCTTAAGGTAAAACATTCCTTATCTGTCTTTAATGTTTATTAGGTAGAACTGACAGAATGATCAGTTTTTTTTGTTTTTTTTTTATCAATTGGCATTTGTAATGAAATGGATAACACTGTACTTTTTTAATCTGCAGAAACTCACCATGATCATTTACATTTTTGAGATCCTAAAAAGTTCCTTTAAGTTCATTCAGATTCAACAAAAGTCTTGAGGTTCACACATTCTCTGTATACCAAGAAATGAGACCCAGCGAAAATGTAGCATTTTTGTAAACATTGACTGTGTGTCTTCGAGACTGTACTGTGCACTCCTTAACTTTGTTTTTTTGTTCTCTTTTTACGTTGATACAGTATGGAAGTTTTAGACAATTTGTTATATAGTGCAATATGCTGTATATAAGAGCTTTGCTCTACAAAACTGATTTCTGATGTTTTTTCCATTGGTACATTTTTTTTCATTAAAATTGTATTAAAGCCTGAAATGTTTGGGGATTTGTTCATTATTAAGCACAACCAGTGAAACTTTCCAGGAGAGCAACCTGAGGGTGTTTATTGGAGTCAAGCTGTGCTGAGGCAGAACTTATTGTTCTCTCTCTCTCTTTCCTCTCCCTCTGTCTCTCTCTCGACCTGGAGTCGCAAGGCTAGCCAGGCGTTTGGCAGAGGCACTGCCAGCTGCTTCCATCTCCCACTGCGAGGTCATTAATTCAGTGGGCCATGCCATGCCTCCTGCCCACACTAATGACTGCCTGTCAGTTTACACACACACACACAGCTGTAAATGTCCTAGACTCATGACCATTTATAGACCAAGCAGGAAAAGTCCCTCTCAAACCAAATTAATGTCCTTTATACAAGGGTCACTGTTGCACTGTTGATGTTTCGAAGAGAGTAAAAAACAAGTAATAATCTTAATCTTTGTCTGCTTTTCATTTGGACATAAGATGTCTTGTTTACCTAATGATCTTTAAACAGAGCTGAATGAGATACTATTAACATGATGTTCATGATGGCCTTACGAAGTACAAACTCAG